TCAACTGTGAGGGCTGCTATAAAATTGGTAATCTGGCGTTTCAGGGCAGGGGACAGCAAGTCACAAAGTTCCATGAAAGTGCCCTTACGCATGCGACAGTTCCGTAGCCACTGGGAATCGTCCCACACCTGCAACACTATGCGGTCCCACCAGTCTGTGCTTGTTTCCCTTGCCCAGAATCGGCGTTCCATGGATAGAATCTGCCCCATTAACAACATGATCTCCAAAGCACCGGGGCCCGTGGTTTCACAGAATTCTGTATCCGTGTCCATGTCAATGTCCTCCTCATGCTTGTCGCTGCGCTGCCTCCGCCGCTGCCTCCTCGCCTCGTTTTTCTGGTCCTGGCTGAGCATAAACTCCACGAGAACGCGCGAGGTGTTTACAATGTTCATGACTGCTGTCTTGAGCTCAGCGGGCTCCATGCTTGCCGTGGTATGGAGTCTGCAGTGTTCACCCACCCAGGAAAAAAGGCGCGAAAATGGTTGTCTGCCGTCCGTTGCTTTCATGCAGGGAGGGAAGGAGGGAGGAGGTGAGGCTGTACCCAGAACCACCTGCGACGATGTTTTTTGTCCCATCAGGCACTGGGATCTTAACCCACAATTCCAATGGGCGCGGGAGGCTGCGGGAACTATGGGATAGCTATGGGATAGCTACCCACAGTGCAACGCTGCAGAAATCGACGCTAGCCCCGGTACTTGGACGCACACCACCGAATTAATGTGCTTAGTGTGGCCGCATACATTTCGACTTTATACAACCTGTTTTTCAAATCCAAATTATATAAATTCGGATTAATCCCGTAGTGTAGACATACCCTAAGGTGCCACAAGTACTCCTGTTCTTTTTGCGGCTACAGACTAACACGGCTGCTACTCTGAAACCTTCTTTTACTATACATTTTCTTCATATTATAAGCATACAGTAGAGAGTTTGTTTTATGAGTAGAACCAGCTACATGTTTCATTTCCTTTGGGTGCTGTTGGCTTTAATTAATACAGTGTTACCATTTATGTTGTATCATGTATGATGTGTTCCCTAGTATCTATCTGTTTAAAATATCATTGTAATAGTCCTGTTTTCTTGTTGCTTAGTGCTTTGATTGTGTTATATTCTGATTTCAAATGTTTTTCAAATACATTTTTCCACACTTTTCAAAAAAAATACTTTGGACTTTGCTGTGAAGCTGATGGTAGTGACTTCTTGTGTCAGTAACATAGGTAGCCAACCATTTTGAAATCTAGCTGATAAGCTTCTTGAAAATTAATCCTATAAACCATATGTATTCTAGGTGTTTCACGTGGTCCCAGCCCTGTCACCCTTGGAAACCAGGACACCCTGCCTGTTGCAGTAGCCTTTACTGAATCTGTTAACGCCTACTTTAAAGGAGCAGATCCTACAAAGTTAGTTAAATAGTGAATTGTTTTGACTATACTGAGTTACATTTAGAAAACAAATTGGTCTTTTTTCTTTTCTTTTAAATATGGGGGAAAAATGGTGAAACTTTAGAAGAATGTGGTAAATTCGTTGAAATGAATTTCTGATGAAAATGAGATGGTGATTTATCACTGGCCAGGCATAGTTCAGGTAGGTGCTATCTGTAAATTGTCCCACACAGCTCAAAGCACCTCATTTCTACCTGCAGCACCCCTGCTATGCCAGTTGTAGCCATCTCCTACACATAGTTGTGCCTTGTGTTTGTGGTGTGGGAAAAAAAAGTTCACCAACAGACTACTGTATGCTTTATCCACCAAACTCATTTCACTTGCAACCTCATCTAATTTTTAAATCATATCCCAAGAGGTGAAAGAGGTAGTGCAGTAAGCCATAGTGCCACCTTCTCTTCATTTAGAATCAATTTGTATTTTAAATTTATGACTTAGATACAAATATTCTGAAAACAGTAGATCTTTACTTTAAAACTAATACTGAAATTTGACATGCAGTAAGAACTGGGTATTTTTATTTTTATTCTGTTGTAATAGAATTGCTCTTCTCTCATCTCTCTCCCAGATGTATTGTGAAGATCACTGGTGATATGACAGTGTCATTCCCAAGTGGGATTATTAAAGTCTTCACCAGCAACCCATCTCCAGCTGTACTCTGCTTCAGGGTAAAAAATACAAGCAAACTAGAGCAGATTCTTCCAAATGCACAACTTGTATACAGGTTTTGTATTTTTTTATCTAATAGAAAACGATGTGATTTTAAAATGTGAATTGTTGCATTACTATTTAAAAACAAATTCTCCGTTACCTTATTGTTTATCTTTGCTGTGAATTTGATTTACGCCAGTAAATTGCCCTGTATTTTTTATGCTTAGTTTCTGTTCAGCACTCTCACTTTAATCCCAATATGAGAATTGCATAGATTACTAGACTTGAAATTTCCATTGATTATAATGGGAACCACATGGCTAAAACTCCAAAAATGGCTTAAAAATCTAGTTGTATGAATCTGTAGATGTCTCTTTACATAGGTTTTTGTAAATTAAATGTTTTTAGACAAGCTCTGTTTAAAAATTAAACCAGATTTAATTTATCTAAATACATAAATACATGTTTAAATTATATGAACAATGTACCTGATCACTGACAGAAACAAACTAGAAATTTCAAAATTAAGAAGACTGACACTCCCACCTCAAGGCACATGGCATTTTTTGTACAGGGATCACACTGGAATGATTGATAGATCAAGTGTCAGCCTTCACTTGTAAATCTCTTAGCTTGCAGTTAATACAGAAGTTCTTTTTCTGATATGGCAATTACTATTGTGGGGGGGGGGATTAAACTACATCTTTTATACAGTAGACCAGAAACTTTGTGTTACTATATAGATGAGGCATGTGCTATCCACAATAAAAGTACTTCTGAAAATTCTTAGAGGGAAAAAAAGCAGTGCCCACCTAGAGTAACTGTTTTGTATATTGCAGCTAGAGCTGCCTGAAAGTCAGGATTTCTGGTTTGTGAGAAATTTCTTGCAAACTAGAAATCCCTCCAAAAATAATTTTGGAAACACCACATGGAGCTGCAGACTCATATAATCCAGATGGCAGTGCTGCCATGGCCCCTGGAAGCCAGAGATTTCTGACCCCAGGACAGTCCCCATGGCAGGGCTGCCTCAGACCCATGGACTCTGGAAGGTGAAAGCTCAGGGAACTAGGTAGACTATTTGTTGCTGTAGCAGAGCACTCACAGGGACAAGTGCTGTCTGCTCAGAGACTCTCTCGTTGGACCTCCAGCTGTATCATTCTTTGTTACCAGTTGGCCATATCTCCCTTCCCTGGGTGGGGAGAGGGCCCACTCCAGTAGAACACATGCAAATCAATAACACGTCTTTGAGAAGTACCTATACTGGACATTTGTAAGACGGCAACCTGGCATTCCATCGATACCTTCACAAAGGATTATGCCTTATTCCCAGATTCTTTTCCAGGTTCAGAAGTACAGACAGCAGTATTACAGACATCTATACTGCCTGCATCCTTGCGCACTCACTTGTTTGAATACTGCTTACCAGTCACTCATGTGTGGAATACACATAGGGACTGCCACACAAAGAAGAAAAGCAGGTTATTTACCTATAACTGAAGGTTCTTCAAGATATGTGGTCCCTATCTCTATGCAACTGCCTGCCCTCCTTCCCCTCTACTTTGGATCATGACTGGATTTGCAGTAAGAGGAGGAACTGGAGAAGTGTTGGTCCACTCTGCCCCTCAAAATCTCAGTATAGAGCATGAGGGAAGCTACTGTACAGGTGTAAACCAATGGAAGCCACCTGCTAGAAATCTCTGATCTCAGGCGCATAGAGCACATGCATACCATGTGTGGACTAGAGATAGGGACCATACATCTTGAAGAACCTCTAGTTACAGGTAAGTAACCTCCACATTGTGATTGAGGCATTTTATAATCTTAGATTAGATTAAATTTATTTTTAAAGATACTTTTTTGTAGCTTTTTCCCCTCAAGGTGTCACTACAGGGCAGGTTTTTTTAATATTAAAAATATGTCCTCTTGAAGGCACAATCCAGATGCAGCCTTAACTATGGTGCCACTGACATTGAGCTGTAATCCAGGAGTGTGTTTTTGTGTTGAATGCTAGTATTGAATCGGTAACTGATGTGCCTTAACATTCTGAAAGGTGAAATTATGTTACAACCTCTTATTGTGTTTGAAAAAAGTGTATGAAATAAAGAGAAAGGACTACCACTTAATTTTAAGACAACCAAAATAAGAAAACTGATATTTGTATTCTCATTCCTATCTTCATTTTACATGTAGTGATCAATCACAAAGTGACTCCAGTACAAAAGATTTTTGGATGAACATGCAAGCTGTCACAGTCTACCTCAAGAAGTTATCAGAGCAGAATCCATCTGCTTCCTATTATAATGTTGATGTTTTAAAATATCAGGTAAATATTTTTTTTATTTGGAGTTAAAGAGACTATCAGAATTATTTTTTATGGGGGCATAAAGGAGGATTGTTACTGCTTAGTTGGATGATTCTTAAGCCAGACCTACACTAAACTGTTCCAAACCCATAGGACTTTGCCTGGCTCCTGGATCAATTTGTGCCCTTGGTGCTTTCTTGCTGCTTCTCCTGGCTTGATGACTTTTCTGTTTGCTCATGCTTGCTCTAAGCATGTGACACTTATGCTGGGTTCCCAACATTGCTTCCTTTGACCATTGTTGGCTGAGGGAAGTGAGACCTTATACTCAATTTGATGGTATTTCTCCATCTGTCTATGTGATAACTTTTGAATGCGGCATCCAGTCAATTCCAGATTTTCAAGAAATGTTCTAGGCATAACCCTATTGATTTTGGTGAAACTGGAAAAATCAAAAGGGAGAAATGAGGGATACAAGGAGACCACTGCAGCTGCCATTCAGCAGCTTCATCTACCTCTGTTATTGTCTATAGATCGAAGAACCAGTTGATGGAACCAATGAACCCTTGCCAGGATAGCTGCTCTCCCCATCTTCCAATACAGTTTAAGAACGTTGATGTCCTGAAAAGGAGAGAGTGTGGGAGGGAAAGAAAGGGTCATGGGGGGGCATATAGAGCCCCTGGCATGGCGGAAGGGGGCACACAACATCTGGTGAGATGGGAATAGGGGATGCACATGAGCCTCTAGCCTGGGAGGGAGTGTGGAAGACCAGGGAAAAGGGGGGTACCTGAAGCCACTAGCATAGGCTGAGGAAGGAGAAGGCCACTCAGAACCCTTGCCGGGGCTGGGGGGACGGAGGGAATGAGAGACACTGGTATTGGGGGGGAAAGGGAGTATGGGGGGCACAAAGAGCCCCTGGGATGTGGGGGAGGGGGCATACAGAACCCTTGGGAGGATAATGGGGGACCCAGTGAGGGGGCACACAGAGCCCCTGGCTTGGAGGTTGGGGGAGAATGGGGGAATCTGGGGTGCAGGGAGGGATAATGGGGAAGCACAGATTCCCAGACATGAGAAAGCTGTTAGGGACACACAGATCCCCTGGCATGAGGGAGAGAGTAGCAGTGTGTCCCTGAAATAAAAGATGATGGGAGGGTAGTACACAGGGAGCTTGTAAGGGGAATGTGGGGATACAAAGAGCCCCTGGTGTGTGTGATGTGCTCAGCCTACAGAAGCAGCCAAATGTGTGCTTCAACTGGTAGGCAAATGTTGTTTCTAATAGTACTTTTGTGCTAACTGTCCCATGACTGTAAGTTACCCTCTGTCAATTAAATCATTATGGTCCACAAGTGGATGGAAGAAAATAAGACCTCTCCAGGCAGATTTCTTCAGTGCAGTGTAGAATGCAAAAGACAACTTAAAAACTAAACTGACACCAATGTTTTGTATTGGAAGAGACAGAAAGGGAAGGGGATCTTGGGGGTGGAGGGGAGACAGTTAATTCTTTTTCCCTTCCCACGCCCCCTATCCCCCCAAAAAAAGTCTGACAAAAGCAGTCTGTGGAATTACGAGATAAAAGCTGCTGAGCCCAGTCTGACTTGGATGTTGTTCCCAATTAGCCCGAGAATATCCCATTTAGTTATAAGGCATGATTAGATAGATGGATAATCTCAATTGTGTGTCATTAAGTAATACTTTTTGAATGAGATCTTCCTCCCCCAAAAAGAGCATTAATGATTATTAATTTGCATTTATCTCAAATATAACCAGGATTTATAATGGAGTTAGAAACTTAATTGTGGTGGTGATAACACAGTTCCATAATTCTTACAATAAGTAAATAGACATTTTATTTTAATTTTTTTAAAGGTATCTTCAAATGGTATCCAGTCCACTCCTTTGAATCTTGCAACTTACTGGAAATGTAATGCTAGCACTACTGATGTAAGAGTGGATTACAAGTACAATCCAGAATCTATGACTGTGCCTAGTATGCTGTCTAACATACAGGTTGTCGTACCGGTAGATGGAGGAGTAACAAACATGCAGTCACTTCCCCCTGCAAAATGGTAAATTCAGTGCATTTCTGTTATAGTATCAAATTTCTTTCAGTACGCTTGTTAACGTTATGTGAATCCTGAAAAGAAATTTTACTGAGAGTTTTGCAAATCGCTTTAGTAACTTATTTTAAACCCTTTGATAGTGTGTAATCTTATTAGATAGTACTACTTTTCACTCCAAAACATAGACAATATCCAGTCAATTTACATTAATTCAAATTGAAAACATGCACTCATTCCAACCATAATAGAGTAGCTCAAGCCAATCCAACTATCTGTGTTCTTTTAGACAAATTTTTCACTGGCTGTATTTTGCACTAAACTGAGTGTAACATCTTCTAACCTAATGGCCATTTCATTTGAAATTGCTTCCACGGATCATGTTGGTGAATTTGTATGTCATGTCATGTGGACAGTGTAATCATTGGAAGCAGTTAACCCACCTGCTGCCATGGCTACACAGGTCAGCACCAATACCGACACATTTTTTTTCTTGTGTTCTAGTTTCTCTTGTAGACAAATTAGAGAACTGCTGGTCTGTGGCTTGGTATCAGTTTGCCATCTATTTCTTTAAAATTTGCAGAAAGTTTTCCTGTACCCTTTTCTTGTAATAATTAGTCATTAGTTTTTTCTCTGTGGTGTTTTCAAATAAAAACAACGAGGAGTCCGGTGGCACCTTAAAGGCTAACAGATTTATTTGGGCATAAGCTTTCGTGGGTAAAAAACCCACTTCTTCAGATGCATGGAGTGAAAATTACAGATGCAGGCATTTTTATACTGAGACATGAAGAGAAGGGAGTTACCTACAAGTGGAGAACCAGTGTTGACAGGGTCAATTCAATCAGGGTGAATGTAGTCCACTCCCAATAATTGATGAGGAGGTGTCAATGCCAAGAGAGAGAAAATTGCTTTTGTAGTGAGCCAATTTGCTCCAGTCCCTCAGACAGAGACAAAAATCTACAAGATCTTTACCAAGCATTCTTAAAACTACAATACCCGCCTGGGGAAGTGAGGAAACAGATTGACAGAGTGAGACGGGTACCCAGAAGTCACCTACTATAGGACAGGCCCAACAAGGGAAATAACAGAACACCACGGGCCATCACATACAGTCCCCAGCTAAAACCTCTCTAGCACATCATCAACGATCTACAACCTATCCTGGAAAACTATTCCTCACTCTCACAGACCTTGAGAAGCAAGCTAGTCCTCGCTTACAGACAGCCCCCCAACTTGCAGCAAATACTCACCAGCAACTACACACCACACCACAGAAACACTAACCCAGGAACCAATCCCTGTAACAAACCTCATTGCCTACTCTGTCCCCATATCTACTCTAGCAACACCATCAGAGGACCCAACCGCATCAGCCACACCATCAGGGACTCATTCACGTGCACATCTACTAATGTGATATATGCCGTCATCTGCCAGCAATGCCCCTCTGCCATGTACCTTGGCCAAACCGGACAGTCTCTATGTAAAAGAATAAATGGACAAAAATCGGACATCAGGAATGGTAACATACAAAAGCCAGTAGGAGAAGACGTCAATCTCCCTGGACATTCTATAGCAGATTTAAAAGTAGCCATACTTGACCAAAAAAACTTCAGAGAGAAACTGCAGAACTAAAATCATTTGCAAATTTAACACCATTAAATAGGGCTTGAATAGAGATTGGGAGTGGCTGGCTCACTACAAAATTTTCCCTTTCTTGGCACCTCCTCATTAATTATTGGGAGTGGACTATATCCCTTCTCTTCATGTCTCAGTATAATAATGCCTGCATCTGTAATTTTCACTCCATGTATCTGAAGAAGTGGGTTTTTTACCCATGAAAGCTTATGCCAAATAAATCTGTTAGTCTTCAAGGTGCCACCGGACTGCTTGTTGTTTTTTTGGATACAGACTAACACGACTACCCCCTGATACTTTTCAAATAAAGTTTGTTTTCCTCAGGACACCTATAAATGGAGATGAGGCAGAGTTGGGGGGAGGGGCGATTAATATCACGAAGTAAAAACTTGCACGAAGTGAAAACAAAGAACTGTAACAGTTACAATTGCATTCATCAGGAAAAATAAAGGGAAATGCTAGCATTGCTCAAAAATGGGAATTGAGGGAGGAATTGGGGGGAAAAATTGGAATTTTTTCTTGATTTTTCTAAATAAAGAAAACTAAAATCAAAATATTTTGACCAGTTCTATAGTCAATAGAAAAACCAGGGTAAATTTTTCACAGTTTTGTTGAAGTTTATCCAAATTGTTTTTAATTCAAATGCTTGAAAAATTTGAACTAGCTTTAGTAAGCATAAAATAAAATCATATTACTCAAATCCTTAAATTTTACATATGTTTGCTGCTTTTCATTGTAGTAAGAAAACTCAGAGAATGGAAGAATTTTTCATAAAGACAAGATTGTTATGCTTCGTGTTTCAAGGTTCTTTCTGAAAGCTGATTTTTTTTCATCTGAACCTTGCCTTGCTTCACAAACAGATGTAGTGCAAGTGCTGTGGTGTTATCTGGATAGTTTCCAGTCTTTCTGGAATTAATCCATTTTTTAATATTGTGCTTTGAGGAAGTACTATAGAAGAATCATTTTAAGTGAAGAAGCTGACAAGATGAATCTTCCTTGCTGTTCTCAAGGAGGGGTACAATTACCAAATGATTATTAAATTATTCTACTAGGACCATGGCAGCTTTTGCAGCCTGCCTGAATAATGCTTTAATCTCTGAGATGTGCAGAGTATTTACTAGAGCTGGTCAGAACACTTTGCAAAGATAGAATGTTCTATGGAGATGTATTGGTTTCCACAGAACCTTTGTTGGGAAGATGTTTGGGTAAAGAAAGGAGGAGAGAGACTCTAGCTAGGTAGTTGGGGGCCTGGGATGCGGAAGACCCAGATTCAAGTCCCTGATCTGGGGTTGTAGAAGAGTGGACTCAATGCTGGAGCCACCTGCCTCCACAGTTGGGTGTGGCATATCAGACTCTCCTCCTCTAGCACACCTGCAATCTGCTGATTCTCATGACTCAGCCCTTTGACCAGGTCATGTTTAGTCCCACGCCTCCCAGTGTAACAACATCCAAATAACACAGTTGTCCAATCCCTCTGGCTGGTCTGCCACAACAATTCTGGGCTCAGTAGTCAGTACACCCTTTTCTCAGGGCTTCCAGTAGTCCATATCTCCTTCTCCAGGGCTTCACACCACCTCACCACTGGCTGTTTGGGGAGCCCAGGCCTTCCCACTACATTGGGTTCCAGTCCAGGGACCCTAGGACAGGCAATCAAGGTTCACTGTGCCAGACTCCAGGCTGCCATCTTCCTGGACTTCTTCCTACCAAGTGTGTCAGCTGGCCTCTCTAAAGTCAGGACTCCCAGCCCCCACGATTAATCCCACACCAGAAGTGCCACTTAACCCAACTTCTGCCCTCCCCAGGTTTGCCCTTTCACCCTCTTATGTTTTCCTTAGTTACTTAGCTGAACACCTCCCACCTCTGAAAGTCCAGATCCTGCCCTTTTATTAGGGCTCACTGCCAGAGCCTGCACCACCCTGGTGGCTGCTCCGTCTCTCTCCTGGCCTCTTGCCAGCCTTTGCAACTCAGTAGAGGACCCCAGGGCCAACTCGTCCCCGAGTTCCTCTCTCTCCCTGCAGCCCCCCTTCTGCTCCAGACTTCCTCATTTCATACTACCCACCCAGTTCTTCTCACAGCTGGGACTCATCTTTAATTTGATCTGACCCACCCTCCATGTGCAGCCAAGTGGCATAACTGCGCCTCAGTTCTACATTAATCCTTTGTTGCTTGTGTGGGGTATACACTCCCATCACAGGTGATCTGGAATGAAAAACTCCATTCTGAATCAGGCAGGGAAGGGACTTGAATCTGTCTCCTACGTACCAGGCCAGTACCCTAGCCACCAGGATATAATTTCAAAACCTCAAAAGTTGTCACAAAATGGAATTGTCAGCCTTTGGTCAGATCTCGTATCTACATATAGATTAGTATGTGCTTTGGATGCTGAAGCTAGTTCTAATGTCTGCTTTGGGAGAATGGTTCTACGGTCCCTCCTCCACCTTCTTCAGCTAGCTGCTTATCCTCTCTTCAGAGATTATCTGTGGGAAGGTAATTTTATGCATGAGAAAACTAGATAAATTACTGAAAAGTAATCTCAATATACTGCCTCCACAGAGCCACACTTATCCACTTCAACCTGTGCCTCTTTGTAGACTTTTTTCAGACAGCTGAATTTGGGAGAGCGGGGGGGCGGGATGCCTTTGTATAACCTCTGTCTAAATGGAGCTTAGTACAAGGGTCCCTTAGGGCTAACTTTTTTCCAAGGTCACCAGGTTAATGGATCTAGGACAGGAATATATTCTAAAACTTTCTGTTATTGGTGAGTAACTAGCTTTCTCTTTTAGGAATGCAGAACAGATGAAAGCTTTTTGGAAAATATCTGGTATTTCAGAAAAGTCAGAGAATGGAGGTAAGTTTGAGTGGGTTTTGTCGGTAATTTTATTATATAGAAATAAACTATTTAATTAGAAGAAATACATTTTTATCATTTTCTTTTGTGTTTTACTTTTCCCATTCTGGTGTCTGCACCCTTTTCCGTGCTATCTCTGATTCCTGGATTGCCCTCTCATCTGGTTTACCAAGCTGCCACCACCTCATTCAAATTCACCCTGAAAACTCTGCTTACACAGCCCAAAAGCTGAGTTAGCCAAAATAAAAAAATAAAAAAACCACTCTACCTTACTTCTCATGGAAATCCCAGTATGTCATAAGAACTGCCATATTGGGTCAGACCAAAGGTCCATCTAGCCCAGTATCCTCTCTTCCTTCCGTGGCCAATGCCAGGTGCCCCAGAGGGAATGAACAAAATAGGTAATCATCAAGTGATCCATCCCGTCGCCCATTCCCAGCTTCTGGCAAACAATCCTGCTTTGTGTGTGTGTATGTGTCTCTCTCTCTGATTTAAAACTGCTCGGAATAGGAAGTGTTCATTTTTTGTCTTATAAAGCACCAAGAATGTTGTCAGCACTTAACAAATAACACAGAAGAAACTGAAACTGTTCCCAGATGTTACTTCCTAATTCTCCTGAAATTTTTATTTAAAAAATAACACGTACATTCTTCAAGATTATAAATGGGTTGTTTTTGAATAAATCTAATCTTAAAATCTCAGGTTAGATGACTTTTATTGTTAACTGGGAGCACAAATGTAGTTGTTAATGAAGCAGCTATTGGAGAAGAAATGGTGAAACTAGTCCAGAGCAGCTAGCAGTTCTAATGACTGATCATTGCTATGGATGAAATGTACAGTATATGCCAGGTTTTGCCTGTTTCAGTACCATATGGAAGTGAATAGCTGTTCAAGGAAAGGTAATTTTTAATGCCATTTTTGCATAGTTTAATTGTTGAGCTAAGCAGAAAGTGTACAATCGTTGGATAAATATTAGTTATTAAGATCACAATCTGCATTTTATCTAACTTACAATTTTATTAACCTGGGACAGGAGCATGAATCAGCAATAGAGAGAGTCAAAAGAATACGCTGAAACTGGTAGTCTAGAAGTTCTCTTTTCTTGCTTGCTCACTTCATCCATTTTTATCTAGATTTTCTCTCCATGAATGACACATTTTGTCCATTTCAAATATTCTTCAAGTGATTGCTCATGTGCGTTCCACAATAGATGTGCATGCTCAACACGTGCACCAGTGCCGGAAGTTTTTCCCTTAGCAATACCCATAGGGGAGCACCCCTAGCAACCCCTGGAGTGGCGCTGCATGCTCCCCCGACCCTCAGTTCCTTCTTGCCGCCTGTGAAGGTGCTTTGGAACTGCTCTGCTCCAGCTCTGCTGTATCTTTCCTTCTTTGGACTTTGTTAGTTCATAGTTAGTAGTACCTGTAGTTACCCAAAAAAAAAAAAGGTAGTTTTAGTTAGAATAGTTAAGTGTGCCTGGGTCGGGGCATGCCCCGTTTCCCAGGCTTTAAGTCGTGCAACACTTGCAAACAGCCTATGCCTGTGAGTGACCCGCATCCGGACAGTTTATGCTGTCTGGGGGAAACCCATCTCAGCGACCGCTGCAAAATTTGCAGATCCTTCAAACCTCGGACCAAGAAGGAGCGGCACATATGGCTCTGAGCCATTTTGATGAAGTCGGCCCTGACCCCGACACCGCTCTGAGTCAGCACCGCGGCATCGGTGCATGGCAATCCAATGCTGTCCTCCACCAGTCGGCACTGCTCTCCGTCCCCGGGACACTCTAAAAAGGCGAAGAGGTCTTCTCTGCCAAGGCACTGGAGCAAGGCTAAGGGAGAGACTAGACCCGCATTGGGCAGCTCTCGATCCCCATCGGCCTCGCGGCCTCCGGCTCAAGTTGAGCGGAGTAGCCCAGCCCACTCCGAGCCAACCTCCCTGGATGCCAGTGGCCACATTCGGGTGCCCTCCATGCCGGAGGCCCTGCAGGCAGCTCAAGACATTGTCTCTACTGGTACCGGTTGCACCGCCGTCAACGGCTCCCCGGTCCAGAGACAAGCCACCACTCGGACCCCCACAGTAGCTGCCTGAACGTTACTGCTCACGGTTGAGGGACGGTTCCTGACACCATTCTCCGCACAGTGACCAACCCATGCATGGCCCACAGTGGTCCCCGTTGACCCCCACCAGGTTGTCTGGCTGGGTGCTGAGCAGGAGGGGTTCCAGGCACCGCTCCGCCTTGAGGGAATGCAGACCTTGTGATGAGAGCATGCCCCGCCAAGACCGGGACAGACAGCACTGGAGGTCGTTATCTCCAAGAAGCTATCATAGCCCTTCGTGGTATGGAGGTTGACACCGCTCCCGCTCTCCGTCCCGTTCGAGGTCCCTGCCATGGCACCACTCCCGCAGCCCCAGACGTCGATCGCTGGCACCCCGAAGTCGCAGATCCACCCATCTGAGCCATTCGCGGAGAGGCCGCTACAGACAGTACTCCCGCTCCTCCTCGCCGGGATCGAGGTCTCGTGTTCAGCACCACTCCTGACGCCGTCACTTGTCCCAATCCCAGGACAGCGGTAGATCATATGCCAGCCCGGTCTCCCTTCAAAGTTGACAGTTGGTGGACCAGGCGGGGCAGTCCGCTCTGACGGTGCCACAGCAGGTGCAGTGGCATCGGGCTCCCTGGCCAGTGCCATGGTTCCAATGGGCCCCGTGGGCCCCGACGCAGCCCCCATGGTGGCTTGCTCGGTGGCCGGAGCCTCGGAAAGACCATCAGTGTCCCTCTCTCAGCCTCCCAGAAAAGGGTCAGCGGAGCACTCATCCCCAGTCCCGCATTTAGAAAGGGACCAAGTGGTGGGACCTGCGGCACAGGTGGGGATGCAGAGCACCGCACCCCCATCCTTATCCTGCCCGATGAGGCGATCACGGCCCCTCCTCCTCCCGTCCCGCAGGAAGACACAAAAGTCCACCAGGAACTGTTGAAAAAGGTGGCATCAGACCTCAACCTACAAGCTGAGGAGGTGGAGGAACCCTCAGATTCCCTCTTCAATGTCCTCTTGGCTTCGGCACTGGCCAGGGTGGCTCTCTCACTGCATGAAGGGGTGGCAAAGATCTCAAACACCCTGTGGCAAACCCCAGCTTCCTTGCCCACCATCTCCAAGAGGGCAGAACGGAAGTATTTCTTGCCCGCCAAGGGGCACGAATATCTGTATACCCACCCCGCCCCCAACTCTCTAGTGGTCGACGCGGTCAACCATAGGGAGCGTCAAGGTCAACCCGCTCCTACTCCTAAGAATAAGGACTCAAGAAGACTAGATTTATTCGGTAGAAAGATTTATTCGTCCTCAAGCTTCCAACTGAGGGTGGCAAACCACCAAAACTGCTGGGCAGATACAACTTTAATTTGTGGGGCTCAATGCCCAAATTTGCAGACTCCCTCCAGGAGCGTGATAAGGAGTTTAAGGCTCTGGTTGAGGAGGGCACGGTTGCCATCAGGGCAGCCCTTCAGGCAGCTAAGATGCTGCGGATATGGCTGCAAGGTCCACGGTCTCCGTGGTGTCCATGAGGAGAGCATCATGGCTCCTGCTGTCTGGATTGTCCAGCAAGGCACAGAACTCCTTGCAGGACCTTCCATTCGACGGCAAGGCCCTGTTTGCGGAACAGACAGACGTGAAGTTACACGGTCTGAAGGACTCCCGCACGACATTAAAGACCCTCAGTCTCTATGTCCAAACCGCAGCAGGCTCTCAGTCAGGCACCCACTCCAGATACAATCCCCCTTATAAAAAAATCAAGGAACTATAAAAAGAGCCCACAAAGGCAGTCCCGGCCTGCACCCCAGCCTGGGCCCTCTAAGGGCAAGCAGGCGGGTAATCACCAGTTTTGATGGGACGCCCGGGGACGACTTACCAGTTTGTACCAGGGATCCACCCAACCTCCCCTTCTCCAACCATCTATGTACTTTCCTCCTGGAGTGGTCACTGCTGACCTCGGACCTCTGGGTCCTCAACACTATCTCTCAGGGCTATACCCTCCAGTTTCTTTTTACCCCCACCCACCCTCCCTTCTTCCTTCCCCCTCCGTCCCTCTTCAGGGACTCCTCTCACAAGAGCTTACTCAAGCAGGAGGTAAGGCAGCTCCTTTGCTTAGCAGCAGTGGAGGTGGTGTCAGCGGAGTTCAGATACAAAGGGTACTACTCCCGCTATTTCCTTATCCCGAAGGCCAAAGGGGGGCTCAGCCTGAATCAGTACATGGTAAAGCTCAAGTTTCGCATGGTCTTTCTTGTCTCCATCATTCCCTCCCTGGATCCTGGAGACTGGTACGTCGCCCTCAATCTACAGGACACATACTTCCGCATTCATATATTTGAGGGCCACAGGCGTTACCTCCACTTCACGGTAGGGCAGGAGCACTATCAGTTCAATGTCCTCCCATTTGGCCTATCAATGGCTCCCAGAGTCTTCACAAAATGTATGTCTATGGTAGCGGCCTACCTCAGGCGTTGGGGGTTCCAGATCTTTCCCTGCCTCGATGACTGGTTGGTCAAGGGCAGCTCCAGGTCACAGGTACAGGATCACGTAACACTTCTCCTGTCCACGTGCACCACACTGGGGCTCCTCGTAAACAATACCAAGTCCACATTGGTACCAGTGCAACGCATAGAGTTCATTGGGGTGATTCTGGACGCGACAAGGGCCGGAGCCTCCTTTCCACCAGACAGATTCAGAACCCTAAGGGAGCTCATTGGCGTGGTCACGAGGTTTCCTGTGACGACCACCAGAGCGTGCCTCCAACTCCTGGGTCATATGTTGGCATGCACATACGTAGTTCGTCACACCAGACTCAGGATGCGTCCCATTCAGCTCTGGTTGGCCTCGGTATTCTCCCAGTCCAGAGACAGGATGGACAAAGTCCTCACTGTGCCTAAACCTGTGATAGCCTCCCTACGCTGGTGGTCTTCCCCGGGGAACATGCTCCAAGGGGTCCTGTTCAGGGGCTGGTCCCCGACTGCGGAGTTGGTGTCCAATGCATCGGACTTGGGGTAGGGAGCCCATGTGGGAAACCTCCAGACCCAAGGTCTGTGGTCCGCACAGGGCCTAGCCCTGCACATAAATTTCAAGGAGCTCAGGGCGGTCTGTCTAGCCTGCATGGCCTTTGCTAGTGCGTAGCGGGCACAGTGATCAGGGTTCTCACAGACAACACAGCCTCGATATTCTACACAACAGGCAAAGGTGGGGCCCGCTCCTCAGCCCTCTGCCAGGAAGCCCTCAGGCTGTAGGACTTCTGCATAGCCCACAAGATCTCCTTGAAAGCCCACTACTTACTGGGCATCTGAAACTCTCGGGCAGATCGGCTGAGCTCAGCATGTATGGTCACTGCACCCAGAGGTGGTGCACAAACGTTGGGCACTCCCCAAGTGGACCTGTTCACGACCTGGGCACGATCTCTGATGCCTTCCTTCTGTTCTGGTCAGGTCAGCTTTGCTATGCCTTTCCCCTGATTCCACTGATGGGCAAGATCTTGGAAAACATAAACTGACAAGGCTTGTGTCCTTTTGATTGCCCTGGCATGACCCAGGCAGCATTGGTACAGGACTCTCATGAGCTTGGCAGTCGCCAACCTGCCTGGACCTGCTCTCCCAGGACCAAGATAACCTCCTCAACCCCAATCTTGCAGCCTTCCACCTCACGGCCTGGCTGCTCAATGGTTAGGACGGGAAAAGAGGACTTGCTCAGAAAGGAGTTCAATGTGTCCTCCTGGAGAGCAGGAGGCACTCCACGCATCAGGCCTACCTGGCAAAATGGTGTCGGTTTTCCTGGTGGGCCACTGATCAGGGTGTCTCACCAGTGGCTACTCTGATCCAGCTTATGCTAGACTACCTCCTTCATCTTAGAGCCCAGGGCCTAACGCCCTCGTCAGTCAAGGTGCACCTGGCAGCCATATTGGCCTTCCACCCACCAGTGCAGGGCTACACGATATTCTCTCATGCCATGACCAGTCGATTCCTTAAGGGCTTAATCGCCTTTTTCCATATGTTAGACCCCCCTAGTTCCCCAGTAGGACCTGAACCTACTGGCTAGGCTAACTGGACCTCCATTTGAGCCACTTGCAACATGCTCCCGGTCACACCTCTCATGGAAAGTAGCCTTTCTGGTGGCGATCACGTCTGCTAGACTGGTCTCTGAGCTCTGGGCCCTGACCTCCGAACCCCAGTACACGTTGTTCCATAAGGATAAGGTCCAGCTCTGCCCACACCCTTTGTTCCTCCCAAGGTGGTCTCCGCCTATCATATGGGCCAGGACATTTTCCTGCCAGTGCTCTATCCCAAACCCCAGGTGTCCAGTGCAGCGCGCCACCTCCACATGCTGGATGTGAGACGGGGTATGGCTTTTTACCTGGAACATACAAAACCGTTCAGGGAATCTTCCCAACTGTTCATCGCCACAGCTGAACGCATGAAAGGTTGGCCAGTGTCCACTCAGCGGCTCTCCAACTGGATCGCCTTCTGTATCCGTACTTGTTACAACCTGGTGGGAGTTTCCCTGCCGCAGATTGTGAGGGCGTACTCAACTAGGGCGCAAGCCTCGTCGGCTGCCTTTCTGGCCCATGTCCCTATTCAGGACATTTGTAGGACTGCCACATGGTCATCGGTTCACACATTTATCTCGCATTATGCGATCATCTCCCAAACCAGGGAGGACTCCGGGTTCGGCAAGGCAGTGCTCCATCTCAAGCGTCTGTGAACGCCTACCCACATCCAACAGATATAGCTTGGAATCGCCTATTGTGGAATGCACATGAGCAATCACTCAAAGAAGAAAAAAGTCACCTTTCCGTAACTGGTATTCTTCGAGATGTGTTGCTCATGTCCATTCCACATCCCACCCTCTTTCCCCTCTGTTGGAGTAGTCTAACAAGAAGGAACTGAGGGTGGGGAGAGCGTGCAGCGCCCCTTATACCGTGCCATAGCAGCACCACTCCAAGGGTCGCTAGGGGCGCTCCCCTACAGGTACTGCTAAAGGAAGAACTTCCGGTACTGGTGCATGTGGCATGGACATGAGCAACACATCTCAAAGAACACCAGTTATGGAAAGGTAACTATATTTTTTTTTTCTCATTTGTGTCAATGTTTTTTTTTCTCTCTTCTTTCTGTCCACTTACTTTCTAAAGCAGTATCTCCTATGTCATCTAATTCTAAGGTGCCAGTATCTATGGCATATAAGCACCACCACTTAGATCCTAAGGAGGGAGGAAAGATGCCATAGCATGAGTCAATCTACCTCTCATTTTCATTCATATTTACTGCATACTCTGTTCACCTTTTCCTTGCTCTGTCCCATATGCCATTGTCTCAATACCCATTGCTCCTGTTCTGATGTTTCCTCAACTTTGTCATGCTGGCATCTGTATTCCATTGTCTTCCCACATTCTTACCCAACTGTCTTTCTATATCAATAATAATATTCAGCACTTACTACGTAGCAATTGATAAGTGGTGTGATAAACAGTTAATATTTATGAGGTAGGAAAAAATTGTATTATCCCAGTTTTACAGATAGTGGAAACTAAGACATAAAAGTTAAGTAGCTTGACCAAGGCCAGAGAAAGAGAGAGAGATTTCTAATACCAGAATAAAATGCTGGAGTTCTTTGCTCTGTCCAGTGTTTTATATGTTAGAACATGTTGCAGTTTCTTGTGGCCAAACACCATGTTGGCTATGCAGCTGCAAGGATCTGGCCAGTGGTCAGGTGGAAGTTTGTAGCAGTTGAGTCAGGAAACATACACATGAAAAATAGAAAGTTTTTCATCAGTAGATTTAAAAGTACTTTGCAAAGGTGGATACTGTTATGGGAAAGTGCATATAAATTGACTTGCCCAGTATGTATCAGCGTCAGTGGCAGAGGTGGGAATTGCTTTTAAGGCCAGAAGAGGTACAGTTGGGATCAGGAAGCATGACCTTCTGTATAACACAGGCCAGTAATACTTGCATCAAGCCCAGTAAGATTTTTAGCAATGTCAAGCACCCACAGCTCCTGTTGACTTCAAAGAGAAAATATGTGGGCTAGGAATAATAAGTTTCCCTTTTGGATGTTAATTTCATTTTGATGGGAATAGTAGAAGTCACTGAGTGCTCCTTTTTCCTCCTATTCTATAATATGAAAACAAGGGAATGCTTCTTTAGAACTAAAAGAAGGAAATAAATCTTTATTCACTGTATATTAAACATGAGAATTCACTGTCCCAGTGGCCTTGTCTACACTAGAAAAATATATAAGCATGTTTCTGAAGTGGCACAGTTCCCTTATATACATTACAGCATTTTCCAATGGAGCTCCACTGGCCCAGAAAATGTTTACAAGTTTTGCCAGTGTAGGTGCACCCAAGCCATTGAGACAAACACTGATTAGATTTAGATACTTACCTCCTTTGTAAAGCGCTTTGAGATCTTCTGATGAAGTGTGCTTTATAAGAACTGTTGTATTAATTTAGAATGAAATAATTGGACCCAGAGGTGTTAACGTGACTCTGGAACTGCTGAACATTGAACAATTTTACACAAGGTTCAGGGTTTTGGTATACAAATTCCTCAGTCTACTTAGTACCATTTAACCAAACACCATTAAAAATCCTTTTAAACCTTTTATTAAAGATACAGAAAAAGAAGGAAAATCAGTTAAAACATTTGAAATGTGGAGTGTTCAGTAAGGTTTTCACTTTCCCTGTAGATTAAGATGGAAAAAAACCCTTGTTTCACAGTCCCTTATATAGCAATAACTGACCTTTTGGGGAGGAAAGAGAAAAGATTAGTTGAGATGAGTTGAAGCTGTTGTTATTGCTGCTGCTGTTAAAGTCCAATCCTGTTTCCTAGAAGACAAAACAAGACAAACACACAAAAGGGGAGAGAAAAGAGCAGCACAGATAGAAAACCTATCTTTTGTCTCTGGTGTTTACTTTTACTTGCAGCCTCATTGCTGGAGAAACACAGGCAGAACACAAGATCTTATCAGCCACTCCAAAACCAGGCAAACTTGTATCAGCATGGGGTTGTTTAGAGCATTGCTTTTAGCTGCGTTTCTGGTTAGAGACTTACAGCAGTGTTGCAAAATATACAGTCTTGAGTGGCTAAGCCAGACTCCTATAAACAGAAGGAAAAACAAGAGAAGAAAGAGAAGCAATAAGATAGGGAAGGAAAAGGATTGTGTGTGGTGAGACTAAGTCTCACATCCTAGGTAGTATTTGGGATTGAGCCAGAGCTTCTGGAGGTGATGATCTCATCTGGGTCCCTCTTGTGACACAGTCTGGTCAGGACATCTCTTAGGGCTTATCTACACACACAGCACTGCAGCAGCACCAATGCAGCGCTTAGTGAAGATGCTAGTACACTCACAGGAGAGCTTCTCCCATCAGCGTAGGTACTCCACCTCCCCAAGAGAAACCCTTCTGTCGACATAGCACTGTTTACACCAGGAGTTAATTTGGTATGACTGCACTGTTCAGGGATGTGGATTTTCCACACCCAAGTGACATAGTCATACCAACATAAATCTGTAGTGTAGACCAAGCCTTAGGATTAGGATGATGAAGGCACAGTGGTGTCGCACTGGATTCTGGGGTCAGAGAAGAACGTGGATGGAGGCAGCCATGATGGTAAAGCTTGCTGCAGACAGCTGTTGGCAGACAGCTGTTAGTGAAGTTTTTTTGCTAATTTGCTCAACAACAAAAAATTCCCTCTCTTTAAGAGCCCCAAAAGGGAATGATGAGTGGAATAGCCCATCCTCCCATTATTTTGTCCACTCATTAGGCCTAATTTCTGACACACTAATTTTGGTCGTCTGATGTTTGGAGCCACACTTTTATTTACCAGGCATGATTTTAACACAGTCCTTCAGTTACAAAAGTAGGTCTTTTTGTGTGGACTAATTCTGTTTTTCTATCTCCCTTTTGCACCTTTTCCCATTGACAGTTGTTATTATAGTTTACTGTGATATTTTATGAACTTTTACCCACTTTTCACAGTTGAGTTTACAGCTAGGGTAAATTTGTATACACAATTATTACAATATAATCCCTCCATTGTATTATTGTGTAGTCCTGTCATTGGAGGTTTTTAAGAAGAAGCTGGACAAACACCTGTCATCAATGGTCTTGGTTTACTTGGACCTGATAACCTATCAACGTCCATACCAGCCTGTATTTCTATGATTCTATATGATGATTAGCAACATTTGCAGATCAACATGCTTAAACAGTTGTTATAGGAGACTCAAATACATTTCGGGTGATTTTCTTCCTGAGCTGCAGGTGATCAATTTTTCTCCACATACAGCTATGTAGATTGTGTGCTGCCTTTCTCTGAAGCATCCTTATATATTGGTCACTGCCTTAATCAGAATACTGGACAAATAGACCAATGATGTGATCTGTTATGGAAATATGTATATATATTCCTACACTCCCAGAAATTAGAGATCTTTATATTAGTGCACTGCCTATTACTTGTGTTTTGTGAGATGGATTGTTTTATTTTATAATCTCAAGCCATTTAATTTTGTCATTATTTTTATAGGTTCTGGATCCCTGAGGGCAAAGTTTGATCTTTTAGAAGGACCTAGTAAACCAGCTACACTTGCAGTGCAATTCATTAGTGAAGGAAGCACCCTTTCAGGTGTAGATGTAGAGCTAGTAGGCACTGGCTACCGGCTTTCCCTAGTTAAAAAGAGATTTGCCACTGGTAAGAAATTGATATTTTTTTATATTTTTGAACTAACATGATTTACTAATGTAACTCTGCCTTTTCTAATTATCTGTATGGAGCATTTTTATACTTTGTCTACTAATTATCTGGTATATAAGCATGGAGTACTTATGTGATGCATAATGGAAGTAGTTATTGGTGCTTACTACAGATGAAAACAAAAACACGGTTTCCAGAAAAATACTGAAACTTTACTTTATCTAATGTTTTATGGTCTTGTTTATTGTAAAACATAATTACTGTAATTGCAAGAGGCTATTTATATTTTTTCAGGACGATATATGGCAGATTGTTGATAAACCTGTGGAAATCATTGAATCAAAGGAGCAGAAGAAGCTATTTTCTCTACCTTTCAAACACTATTTTAACATGCATTAATTTTTTTAAACTTTGACCTGTTTTACAAAATAAAAAAAATGCACTTTTTTAAAGAAGTCATTTTGGGAAAAAAATGTTATTTTATAATAGCACTGAAGTGAACTTCAACACTGTTTGTAAATGATCAACTACAATCTTTAGGAAACTTGTTTATTCAGATTTTAGTAAATTTATATAAACTAAGTCAAAATACTAATCATTAGCTATATTGAAAATGTATGAAACGATATTAAACTGTAAACATTAAACTTTAAAAAGTAGGAGAGCAAGCACAAAATATTTTAGCTTTGCATAAATATTCATATGTAGGTTTTCTGTTTCCTTAATTGCCATTGTGCAAAGCAAACAGAGGCAAAGATAATCTCTCCACCCACTTATGTTGCATTCATGTGCTATAAAATCAGTTGTTAGAAAGAGATGTATACAAAAAGTATAATGTGATTCCCATGTACCATATATTAAAGTGTAAATTGTTTTATATATAAGATTTAATTTTTTTTCCTAAGTGCAATGTGTTAAAAATTGCAAAAGGCAGCAGAGATACTTACTTCTGCTGTTAGTAAATTTTATGGGAGTTGTGATTGTTTGAATTAATGCTGTAGACTTAATTTATTTTTATATGGATTACATAACATTTGTGCCTTTTTTAAACTGCCTGTCCAATTTGTTGTTGATGTGCCTCACTTCCTTTTTCAGTCTGGCTCTTCCATACCGTGGTGTATGTAATGCATAGAACTTCATAAAATTCCTTTGAGTGGAATTTAGAAAGTATATTTACAATAACTGGAGGTTGCTTTGTAAAATGTTTAAAATACTGGATTACTTCCTTATGGGGTAATTGCAATAAATGCAGCCATTGTAGAGGGAAATGCATAGCGCAAGACTTTAAATATAATCACAGAAAAACTCTGTCAAAGTTTCAACTTTAATCTCACCAAAGAAGTGTGAATTCTGAAGATGCATAAAGAATGATAAAAACAGGATAATTTTTAAAACAAATGTAGCATTTCCCTTCACTCTGACTACTAAGTTGTTTAAGATTCAAGTGCTTTATGGACTTGTGATATGAATGTAAACGTTGTGCTTTGTGAGGAATAGCATTTTAGAAAGGTATATTTTTGGCAGCAGCAAGAAAAGTGCTGCCATTTGCATTATTAATTTAAGCTTCACTGAAAAACTACCACTTCGTATGTTTGTATTGTCACCTAATCTATTTGCCATATGCAAAATATAGGGAAGTGATCTGAAGTGACACATTGGTAGTATTTCTTAAAACCGGTTAGTAACTTCAAAAATCAGTTATGTATTGTGCTATTGTTAAACAAGTCCTTATTAAGTTCAGAAATCAAATGTTTTGGGGCAGAATAATTTAATAACCTGCAAATGGGAATAGTATATTATAATTCTGAATACCAATGTCTATTCAGATTATATACTGGAAGCAATAATAATTTGTTTTGTGTAATAATTCATGTAAAACCACTAACAAATTGGACTGCTAAGCTTTACACAGATGAATTTTCAGGACCCTTAGACACTTACGTAAGTTCTGATTCATGTTACACACTACAGACAAGAGTCCATTGTTAAACAATATCCAGTACAGTATGTGCTTTTTATATGTATTCCTTGTTATAACAAACCTGAATTAAATTTGACTGGAGCAGTACATATGACTCTTAATTTGCTAAAATATTACTCTTTACTGAATGATGAACATAACTAGAATATCTAATTCTTATTGTAATTGGCATTTTAAATGGTACAGTCTTTTACTGGAATCTTAATTGTAATTTGCTTTGCAATCAAACTGTGTGTTTAACCTGACAGTTATTTTATTATTGAAATCCAAGAATTATTTTACTCTCCATTTTTAATCAAGTATTACTTAACTACTTCATTAATTTAGAAATTTAAGTTTCAACAATTTTAAACTAGCATTCATACCAGGTGATAAAACATACATTTGTAATGGGTACAGGTTACAATTTTGAAGCCATACAAATTTATATAGACTTCTTGTAGAGAAATGGATCAACAGTGTAAAAAAAGAGATATTTGATGAGAAATGTATGTAGCAAGCTGGTTCTTGCCTGTGTATACAGCGATAACCTTTGTAGCTGCCGCCTATTGAGAAAATGAATTTTTAAACAGTTCTAAAGGATCTGAGGTTTGTATGGATTATTAATACTTTGGAGTGTAAATTAGAACAATACAAATTTCTTATAAAAATTGTAAATACTTTTGATTTTTCATAAAATGTAAATTTTCCAAAAAAAATTGCACCCATAATAAACATGTAATATATAATTTACAAGATGATTCATGCTGTTTATACTTACAATAATCAACAATACTCTAAATTCCAAATGCTTAATACAGGGGTAGTCTTGTGCCATAGTGTATCGTTGGTTGGAATATATTACTTGATTTGCTCATTATTTAAAAGAATTAATAAATATCTCTACCATCTGATGTGGAACTGTTCTCTGGACAAAACAAGAAGAAATGTGTTTTGATAGAAAAGGGAATTCAACAAAGAGATATGGTTCTGAGTTTTACTGATACTAGCAATATTGGCTAATCTATTCCTAACAATGAACGTTACAAGAACAATCTGACTTCAGTGGATTTTAAATGCATCTGTGAGTGGACTTCTAAAGAAAATTGCTAAATGCAATGAGCATCTGAGCCTTCAAAGCCAGTCCTAATGAATTTTGAAAGTAAGATGAGAGAAGGATACCAGGGGCAGAAAACAGGGCAAAAGAAAAATGTAGAAGGCTATTGACTTATGCAGTCATAATAATATAAAGCATTTACTAAGCAATTAAAATGTCTTTCCCCAAACATTTTCCAAATTAGTGCACACAAGAGCTGGCAAAGAAGATAAAATATTTCATGTTTTCCTTAAAGCAAACAGTTTCATAAATGTGCTTCCTAGACTTCTGAAGATAATTTTTTTGTATAAGCTAATTTTTCATAATCACACAAGGAAACCAATAAGTGGATTTAATTTTTGCTTATTCTGTATAGAAAATATACAAATGGGTGACAATACTCCTTTCTGCACCAACCCCTCCTTTAGTCTTCACCAGTTCTAACTGACTTAGGGAATGTGTATACCAATATATTCAGTCTTCTAGCTCAAAGCCTGAACACAGGAGGGAAGGAGCATTAGCTCTGAGAACATTCCTTCCAGAGACTGTGGCCACAGAAGCAATAGTTGTGCTGAAACAGACTTTCCGTTATCTGTTTATTTCAGCTGAAAATTAGACAAATTGTTGAACTTCTCGGTGACAAGCAAGAAACTAAATTCCAGTTGAAATGAATACTTCCCCTCCAATCCCGCCCTCCTGCAAAAAGTACATATCTAAAGAAATAACAAAGGTTCTTATCTGAAATAATCATATTGTACATGAAACTCTTAAGAGATTTATTTCCTCCTTGAGAGAGAGATTTTTAGAATGGTGGCTTCTGTCCTTCTTGCCCTCTTTCCAGAATCCAAGAGTGGGATAAGGCTGAGTAAAGATTTTCTGTATCCCTCATTGAGTGCTGGTGATTTCCAGCCCTGTTAGGTTGCATCCATTATCTTTGACCAAGACTTGCATGGGATTTCCTTCCAAAACAGTCAACTAAGTTCTGTTATCAATAAATAAGAACACTCCTTCCTTTCCAACCATTGCCCCAAAGCCAAGTGCATCACTTTTAACAATCAGCATTCCTGTTATGCTTGAAAGCAAAAGACTGAAGGCATGATTCTGATGTCAGATGTAAATCAGAAGTAACTCCACTGAAGTAGAACCCTGCATACAAACTATATAACAGATCAGAATCCCTGGGAATCCAGCCCATCTGACCTTTCTCATTAAGTGGACGCCCATGTATTGCTCCAACTACTCTAAACTGGATTTGTACTGTTCTAACATGCTCATTCCTGAAAAGCAAGCTGTTTAATGTATTTAGATAATGACATACTTGATTGCTCACACTAGTGCTAAATAATCATTTAGATTTTGGCAAACAAAGTAGGACACGAGGTAGATAAGACATTTCTGCTTATCAAGTGGAACACAGGAGGCGTAATAAACCTGATGCTTTGATCTATTAACCAGGAAAACACACACTGAGTCAAATACTATTAAATGAAAAAGCTTGTATGTTTCAAATAGATTTAAGAGATGCATCTGAGTATTTATGAAACTGTTGTTCTTGGAAATGTTAGAAAACAATTGGTTTCCATTTCAATCATCACACGACTGTAGTTTTACTTTACAGCATCCAAGGGAAAAAATATCTGGTATATCAGAATTCCTCCAGGGCAGACTCCTAAACCAGAAACATTTCAAGCAATTTTCTTCTTTAATGTCATGTTAAATCGCAAGTCATGGGATAAAATTGAAGGTCCTCTCTTGACTAGTACCTGATTAAAAGACAGGAGACAACTGGGAGGAATGAATGATCAGTTTTCAGAATGGAGAAAGGTAAATAGGGGTGTCCCCCAAGGACGGGGACCAGTGCTGTTCAACATATTCATAAATGGTCTGGGAAAAGGGGTAAATAGTGAAGTGGCAAAGTTTGCAGATGACACAAAATTACTCAAGCAGACTGCAAGGAGTTACAAAGGGCTCTCACAAAACTGGTTGACTGGGCAACAAAATGACAGATGAAATTCGGTGTTGATAAATGCAAAGTAAGGGCCATTGGCAAACACAATCCCAACTACACATACAAAATGCTAGGCTCTAAATGAACTGTTATGACTCAAAAAAAAGAGATCTTAGAGTCATTGCGGATAGTTCTCCATCCGCTCAAGGTTCAGTGACAGTCATATAAGCTAACAATGTTAGGAACTTCTAGGAAAGGGATAGGAAATAAGACAGTAAATATTATATTGTCACTATATAAATCCATGGTATGCCCACACCTTGAATACTGTGTGCAGTTCTGGTCACCCCATCTCAAAAAAAATATTAGAATTGGGTATGGAACAGGTTCCATATGAGGAGAGATTAAAAAGACTGGGACTTTTCAGCTTGGAAAAGAGACAATTAAGGGGGGATATGATCAAGGTCTATAAAAAGCATAAATGGTGTGGAAAAAGTGAATAAGGAAGTGTTATTTATCCCTTCACGTAACACAAGAACCAGGGGTCACCCAATTAATAGGCACAAGTTTAAAACAAACATAAGGAAGTACTTCACACAACGCAGAGTCAACCTGTGGAACTCCTTACAAGGCGATGTTGTGAAGGCCAAACATATAAAAGGTCAAAAAAGAATTAGGTAAGTTCATGGAGGTTCAGATCCATCATTAGCCAAGATGGTCATGAATGCAAGACCATGCTCTGGGTGTCCCTAGCCTCCAACTACCAGAAGCTGGGAGTGGACAACGGCGTGGAGCACGCAATAATTGCCCTGTTCTGTCCATTCCCTCTGAAGCACTTAGCACTGTCAGAAGACAGTATACTGGAGTGGATGGATCACTGGTCTGACCCAGTATGGCCGTTCTTATGTTCTTAAGTCATGCTTATGAACAAACTGATAGGCAGGTCTCTTAATTGAAAATGTAACAATCTTTATCTTCAACTCTTTGTACAGTATTGTTTCTTGAGTGTTTCCTCCCAAAACTTATCTGACCTGCCTCCTTATTGACATGCAGATATTACCTTTCCTCTTAGTTAATTTAATTCATTATCCCTTCACTGTTTCAAAAGCTCTGGAAACCACAAATTGTTTTTAAAGCATGATGGAAGATTAAAAGCAATATGTTTTTTAGACAAACAAATGGTCTTACCTGGGTTACCTATAACCCTTCATTAAAAGAATTGTAAATCTTGGGGCTTGTACACACTACCATGTATGTCGCTCACGGATGTGAATAAGCCACCCTTTGAGCGATGTAAGTTGCCCTGACCGGAGCGCTATGCTAGTGGCAGAGCTTCTCCTGCTGCCATAGCTACCGCCTCTTGTGGAGGTGGTTTTATTATGCCGACAGGAGAGTTCTCTCCCATTGGCATAGAGCAATTTCACCAGTAGTGGAACAGTTGCATTGGTGCAGCTGCACCACTGTAGCACTTCAAGTGTAAGCTAGCCCTAATTTACCTTTCACTATTTATGCTGTAAGGTTGGTTTTTTTCTGAATTACTATCAGGCTGGCCAATAGAAAACAGAAGAATCTCTTTTTTTTAAAATCTGTTTTTAGTCATTTTTACTTGCCCTATTATTGAGTTTATTATTTCTTTTGTAGCCCTCAAGCATATACTATTGCCCTTAACAAATTGCTGTAAAAGACACCATCCCTGCCTCTAAAAGCAGCCAATCTAGGACCCATATTCTACAATAAGGTCTTGTGGGCAGATGCTCATTGAAGTTAATGGCACGCCCACATACTTCATTGCAGGATTGGGCCCTAAGGGCCCATCTCCTTTGCCCACATGGAGCCCCATTAATGTCAATGAGACTTCTCACATGCTAAATGTATGTGGGTAAGTGTTAGCAGGATGAGAATCTAATTTTAAATGTGAAGCAACTCATGACTAACAAATAAGGAGGTAGAACACTGATTTATACAAGATCAGGAAATAATTCTGGTTTTGTCTAAGTTCCATTACAAATTAATTTTTTTAGGGTTTTACACATTTCAATAATCTCATGCATAACTGCCACATTTTCCTTGTCCACTTTCACTTTGTTTAAATCAATGCCTATTTGTTCTTTTCTACTTTTTTTCAATTTTGTCATCTAGTTTAATGTTTTTATTATAGCCCATTTTGCATGCAACTTTTAACCTTTGCTGATTTTTGTTTTACCTGTCTTATTTCTTTAATTTTCTTTAATCCAACTCTGGGTGTTATGAACCAATACTATTTTTTTATTTTTAAAATGTCATTTCATTTTAACCTGTGTTATATTCCTTTTAATACTTGCCTGTATCCTTTCTCCTGTATCTTACTCATTAGATGACCCCTGGTCATCATCAAACCTCTATCAGCGCCTCAGTCCCTCTCCAACAAAGACACCATCTATTTCCTAGCACAAAACTAAGTTTTTTGGTCTGTAGGGGCAATGGTGATAACCCAGCCCTTTATTAGTAGTCACATACCCTTAGAATCTCCCAGTAAGTTCCCTCTTGACCATGGTTAATGAAAGAGATCTCCAAAGGAGCAGCACTTCCCCAACTTGCTCTGGCTCTTCATCCATCCAGCTTGTTCTGGTATCCTTTAAATGCCCCTTCCTTTCTTCTGGTCAGACCCACTCCTTCTATTATATGGACTTTCATTTTCAAAACTCCATGGCCTTTTGGTCTCCACCATCT